CTTTATATCTTTTTCAACTCCTATTCCATTTTCATAACAACGTCCAAGATTATATGTTCCATCAGCTTGTTCCATGATTGCTGATATTTGATAATATTCGAATGCCTTCTTTATATCTTTTCCAACTCCTATTCCATTTTCATAGCAGCGTCCAAGATTATATGTTCCAATTGCATTTCCGTTACCGTCATATCTTTGGTAATAAATGAATGCCTTGTGCTCATCTTTTTTAATTCCAATCCCCTTTATATAACAATATCCTACTTGATTTATTCCATCAGCATGCCCCATATCTGCAGATTTTTGATAATATTTGAATGCCTCATGTTCATTCTTATCTGTTCCAATTCCGTTCTGGTAACAACGTCCAACATTATATATTCCATCTATATGTCCGATGTCTGCAGATTTTTGATAATATTCGAATGCTTTCTTTATATCTTTTTGAACTCCTATTCCATTTTCATAACAATGTCCTTCCCAGATATCATTGCTTAATTTTAACCCCTTACAAATATCATTGCATTTATGTTTTGCTAAAAAACATTTTTGAATTCCTCTCTTTCCTAAGTTTGTATTTCCAAATCTTAATAAATCAATACAATGTATAGCTGGATCTGTTAACAAGAACTCATCATGGAGTTCGACACCTTGTAAGTCATAAACTACTAAATACTCTTCACTGTATTGATACGTGAAATGAGCAAATGCCTCGAGAATGGAATGAAATTCTGTAATTAGACCACTACTCACGTTGAATTTTTTAAATTCTGCATTATCGATATATTTTTCTATGGAGTAGTAAGTATTATCTGCCTTATCGTGTAAGACTTTTGCATTAATAAATCTAACTTTTTTATTAACTCCAACCCGTTTTGCGGCTATATTGAATTTTGTTGAAAAAAAATAAGCAATATTAGAGATTTCCACTGATTCTAAATATCTTTCTGTAGTGCTTATTTTAACGTCGTGATACTTTTTTATCACTAATTTATTAGCTTGTCCAAAGCTCGTATCAAGTGCAAAATAAGCATATCGTTCAGCACCGACAGAGAATGGTTGCGGTGCAAGTTTAAAAGATATGTCTTGTTCAATCAAATTTGAATTAATAAAATAATATTCATCTTTAACTTCAGAAAGAGTTTTAGGTAGAATACAATATAAAAGTTTTCCTGTTTTCTTTGGATGATTATTCTAATCAGGTTCGTGTGGATTGATTTTAAGTTTTTTTTCGTTGTAAAGAATTTATGCTTTTCGAGTTTCTTAAAGTTGTGGTTAGTGTAATAGAAGAAAAGATGGCCGAAGAAGTAGCCTTGCAAAATTTATTGACTAATGCCTCAGGATTATGCCCCGTAGTCATAAGATCGAATATAGGCAACTCTCCAATTATTTCACGAAATACATTAATCATGACATCGGTAAAATCATTAATTTTTCCAAAATAATATAAAATCTTTTTTAATTGCATTTTCTTTAGCACACTTTCTGCAGTTAGACCATTCGGGTCACCTTCTGGATAGTCATCATCTAGATATTCATCATCATATAAGTTGGTAAAACGACGACCATGTGGTGGTGCATCGCCAATATGAATAAGAACACGGGTGGCATTGCTCCATGTCATCTGAGTTATCGCAGCATTAAGACCACCTAA